AACAGTATTACTCACAATTGGCTCCGTGATATAGGTGACTGGAACGTGGCATTTGACCTACACAGACAGATATAAGCATAGCACAGTTAATTCACCATACAACCAACTAATTAGTTTTATTACTTAAGAATTGATTGGTCTAAATGTCTTTTACTCTCATTTAATGCCTATGCAGTGCAAATAAACGTCAATTACGGATGCAAATCCCGCTAACAGAAGCCCAGGAGTGGGGTAAACAAAGCAGAAAAGTGAAACTGAGACTGCCAAACAGCCGCACGTGCGGAGTTCCTTGGCCGCCCGTGCGGGACTTTTTCCACACGTGCTCCACCGGGTGCTTTTTATGCAGAATGCTCCCAGTACCTCCCCTGTTATCCGCATGTGCGGACCTACCCGCCACATGTGCGGTTCTGGGTGTTCCAGAACTGATTTTTTGCTCTATTTTCTAAGCTTCAAACCACCAAAAACCAAACCCAAATTCGATCAAATCAAAAGCCAAAAGTTAACAAACATGGTGTGTAAACAATTACCAAGTTCAAACCAAGAATAGAACTTTAAATTCAAATTCAAGGTCCAGAATCTCATAAACAACTTCAAGGTTAAAGAAAAAACAAAACCTATGCATATGGAAATTCTATGTTTCAACAAAGCCATGGAAATCTAGCTTAAAATCATGCAAGACCAAGTAAATGAGCTTGAATAATGCCACTCAGGCAAGGATATGGAAGAATTCATCCTGTTAAGGTTATAACACAACTTATACTACCCAACTCCTTACTCTTTCTCTCAATCCCATGAGTTCAAGATGAAAATTCATTATAATGCAAGAAATTAGAAAGAACTCTTACCTTAATGAGTTAATTTGATGAAGTTGCTTCAAATTCTCCTCTTCTCCTTTATCTTCCTCTCTTCTCTTCTTGTTTACTCACTCAAACTATAGAACACTCTTTAACTCTCCCAGGTTTTCTTTCTCTCTCTCTCTCTCCCCTCTCTCTCTCTCTCTTATTGAGTTCAACATATATATGTATATATATATATACATATCTAGAGAGAGAGAGAGAGAGAGATCGGTTCAGAGTTGATTCCAGGGATCATGAGACAAATACATACATACATATACGACAGTCGAGTAAGCGAGCTCCGCCTCTCTCGTTTCTAGCTTGCTGGACCACTCTCAACCCAAATCACTAACCTGCGCATGTAGAGAGAGACCGAGAGGTAGAGAGAAAGAGGCAGCAATGATCGTAGGAAAGAGAGAGAGAGAGAGACAGAGCACAGAAAGAGTGAGAGGGAAGAGAAATGTAATGGGTACAATGATATATATATATATATATAAGATATGTATGTGATTATATATATGTATTCTCTCTCTATATATATATATATGTGAATGAATGAGAGGGGTATTATGGTCAATTCTACTGTCAATCTAACGTCGTTGAGGCTCTTTTAATGGAAAGGGGGCATTTGTCTATTAGTTTCAAAAGTAAGAGAGGTTTGTGTCATTTTTAAAACTTCAGGGGAGGTCCCTGTAATTATGATAAACCTCAAGGGAGGTTAGTGTAATTTACCCTTATTTAATAGGTCACGTAAAAATTAATGATATTCTTCATTAAGCACTATTAAAAAAGTCATTAATTGTTAATTTTCAATGATAACTTGAAAATTTTGTCACAAAAAAATCACTAATTATAAGTTTTAGGAATAGTTTAAAAAAATCGTTATAAAAAACGTCACTAATTTTCAACTTTCAACAGTTTGAAAAATTCATCATAACAAAAAGTCACTAATTACAAATTTTAGCGACACTCTTTAAAAATTGTGACAAACAAAAAGTCATTGATTGTCAATTTTTAGCAACATATGTAAAAAAATAGTTATAAAAATTTATTTTTAACGACGATTCTATTATGTTTTATTTTCAATAGGACTTGATGGGAATTAAATCCGACTATTAGGACTCATTGATAGTTTACCCCTAAATTATTAACTTAGTTTATAATTTTTTTCAAGACCGTTACATTTACACAATTTTACAGTCTGAATGCACACAATTGATGCTCTTACCAGTAAAAGTTTCTAAAACAGAAACTCTTATTGAAAAGAGTCTCATTTGGTAAAAAAAATTATGTGAATGAATTATTTTTTTATTATTTTAATTTGTGTGTTCCAATGAAGATATAAAACCCAAAAAAAAAAAAAATGAAGATATAAAACTCAACAAATACTAAAGCTAAAATGTAATTTTAAAATGTGAACTAGTTAAATTATACAATCAAATATTTACTTTTTTGAAAAAAATTATAACTAATTTTATGAGTGTTCGATTGTATAGTTAAATTGTTAAAATTTTGAAATGATATTTTGTTATCATCTAATTACATTTAAACTACTGATTTGTGCATCATTTTCAGGGTTGTTTTGTGAAGTAAAATAAGTTGGTTTTTTTACTTATTGCAAGAGGACATGTAAAAAATAAAGAGGTGATATGATCCAAATAAATCAGAATGATAAAAACTGCCTTATAAGCCACTTTCCAAAATTTAGACAAGATGAACTGAAATGGTTTTTAAAAATTACTTTAGAAAAAATAAAATAAAATAGAGATGAACGTGAAATTAAATTTATGAACTTATCTTTATTTTTTTTGGGCTGAATTTATGGACTTATCTAAGTTCACATACCTTTAGAGAAATTGAGGAGCCCTTAGAGTCCCTATTGTACAGGACTTTAAAAACATATATGATCCATAAAAAAATTATATCAATTTTATAATCATAGCATTTTAATTTTATAGTGTGTCTAAAAAAATTAAATGACAAATAATTTAAAAAATATATCATTGATTTTGAAAAAAAATAATAATAATGAATCTATTTTTTTTTCCATAAAAATTATATGAAAAGCCCTATAATATATAGGGAAATTTAATAGGAAATCATCTTTCAATATTTGTATCTCGATTAGTTCATATCATATTATATTATATTTCAATAAGTCCTATTATTTGGATATTTGATCTATCAAATCTCAATTATCATATTGTATTTTATGGACAATTTTACCTTTAAAAATATTTTTTGAACTCTTAGCAATTTGGTGATGTAAACATTCACATCGGTAGTGCAAATGTTCACATCCCGGAACATTCATATCGTTAATGTATACGTTAATACGTGCTCTGCCCTATTATTATTAGATGTATTGTGGTAAGTATGCCACTCATAAGATTTATTGAAATATAAAACAATAGTTTGGAGTAAGTGTAACATAAATAGGTGAAAAAATATTTATGAATAGGACTTGGGTTATTTCCAGTTGGGAAAAAGGTACTATTGGCCTCAATGGGCCCACCACGAAGATCGCATTAATAATTCAAATCGTTCAATATATAGCTCGTCGAGTATTTCATCCATGCAAATCACGTTGATCATATCACATTTGTGCAATAATTTATTTTTAAAATTATGTTTACCGTTGACATAAATGTGATATGATCAAGTTGCTATCGATTAGTGGTGAACAACGAATATTCTGATCACCCCAAACCGGCCGAATAGAACCGAATCAATCTGTCGCATTTTGGACGGATGTGTGATAACAAGTGGACGGTTGTGGATTGATTTTTTTCTAATTCGCCTAGTTTTGGACAGATGGCGGATTTGAGATTCCTTTGGCTGCAACCGAAACGCCAAATCACGAGCATCCATAGTAATTTGTAAGATTTTGTGTTTTTAATTAAAAAATGGTTTAAATAGTCTGCTGTGTTTTTAATTTAGAAATCCTTTTATGAAGTGGCAAATGTTGATATTTGATATTTTTATGTGAAAAATATAAGACTTGATTTTGTCATTTTTTTTAAAAATCAAATTAAATAGTTTTTGAATAAACAAAAAAAGTAATGAAATAGTTTTGATAATGCATGATTTTCTTATATGTATTTATTATTGGTATTTTATAATTTACTTAATAATTTTTTGGTTATGTTGAGTTGGATTGTTATAAAAAAAATATTGACAAATTGTTGTATTATGTTCAAAATTTATAAAAGTTTAAACCGCCAAAACGATTTGCATCTATCCGTCAATCCTCCAATTCGGCGGACGTATGGTGAATTGGAGGTTCTCCGGCTACAACCGAACCGCGAACACCTCTACTATCAATATCCGATTAGCGTAATTTTTTTAAAACAATAAAATATTTAACAAGCTTTACATATTGAACAATTCGAATTATCAATACAAGTTCCGTAACGAGTCCATGCACACCTAATAACTCTCCACGGTCCGATATAGACTAGAGAGACGCTTATCCTTATGAAAACATTACCTGTACCACCACGGACCGATTGAGTCATGTCAAGGGATGATACTTTAGAAGGCCAAAACGTAGGTATAAAGTAGGAAAAATTATTTGACGCTCTTAAGAGGTTATGTCATAGCACTCTTTATTAATTCTAATATTTTTGGAGCACCATTTGACGGCGCTTCAAAACCAACCAATAACCTTTAGTGAAGTAGAGGGCAAATGACAGCGCTGTTGGATAATCAAAAGAAAATTACAAATCAATTAAAAATTACATACGTTTTAAGAATTAAAATATCAATTATGCTGCAGACCCCTAGTGAGGTGGCGAGCCCTCACTAACTGAAATTCAAAAAAATAAAATAAAAAATAAAATAATTTTTTTTTTATCCAATCACGGCGCGCCACCTCACTGGGGGTTGACTCCCAGTGGGGGTCCAAAGCATTTATCTTAAAATATTATATATATTTTTTATGATTTTGTATTTTTTTTTGGCTGCTTTCACTGTGCAATCATTTCCCCTAAATGAAATAATTTAAGAAAAATTATCAATCATCAAAAATTTATTACAGATTTATTAAAAAAATTATATTTTTAATTATTAATATTTATAAAAGTTACAATTTATTTATAATTATTTTTGAAAGCTAGCCTGAAATTTCCCCAATATTTTACCAAACTCCAGTGGTGTGCGTAGTAAATCCCGGTGGAATAGAGAGAGAGAGAGAATCACAGCAATGTAATTTACCGCGACGACTCGTCCGCCATTTTTCGATATCTCTGTACTTTCTCCCGTTCTCTCTGATGAGTGTGGGACGCCCACGTCATATGTTTTACACACCACCACCACCACCACCACCACCACATTTTTTAAATATAAATAAATTCCTTTGACCAAGGGAGGGGCGGAGGGAGAGAGAGGGATACAATTCATTCATCGAGTTGTGCTTTGTGTCTTAATCGGTGTGCTTGGTTTCTTGATCGATCGTCGCAGGTTTGTTGCTCCAGCTTGTTATTTCCAATAATGTTCTTTCTTTGCTATTCCTTTTTTTAATTTAATTTTATTTAATTTTATTTTTTTTCATTTTATAGGTTAATTATAATTCTTCTGTAGTTAAGTTATGTTATGTTAAATCTCATCACTCTGCTCCTTGTGAAAAATGTTTTTTGTTTGTTTGTTTGTTTGTTGTGAATGTGTTTATTTTTTCACTAATTCAAATGCTGTTGTTTCTCTACAAGTTTTATCTAATCCCCTGTCTTTTACTCTCTCTCTCTCACACACACATTCTGTTCTGATTGGGGGTTTTTGTAAATAATTGTAATTCTAACTGAAAAACACAAAACATTGAAAATTGCATTATTTTTCTTTGTAATACTAAAATTTCCTGAAAGTACTGAGCAATTGAGAACACTTTTAGTCAAACCCCACTCCAGAATGAAATGTGCTACTTACAACTTTAAATAAAAAAGAACAGAAAAGAAAAGAGAATGTCTTAGCAGAGTTCACCTGCTTATAGTTGAGTCTGCCTTATGGGTTGTTTCTGGCAAGTTTGGGGTAAATCATTGTGGTTGCAATTGCATAGATTAAGATCTGAAGAAATATAAGGAACAACCATGTGTGTCGTTGTGTGCACATGTAGTTTACACGCGCACGTGCACGTGCACATACAAGCCTCCACATAAGAACCATCAAAATTAAAAATTAATTTTTGTTTTTTTAGGATGAAGGGTTTATTTCCCTTTCCTTCTTCTTATATACAGAGTTAGGTCCTAATTGTTTTGGATATAGTTTTAGGGTATTTGAGTACATGATTTGGGATGAATTACGTGAGCAATTAATTTATGAATTAATGAAAGTTTTCAGTAAATTTGGCATTTCATTGGTGTGTGGCTTTTGATATGAGATTTTTGGCCTGTTGTATAGATTGGCTTTATTGATTGGGTACCCAGGATATGTTATCGTAGCTGTATTCAAAGTGGGAAAAGGTTTTCATAATGGCTGCAAGAGCAATACTGCGAAGGAAGAAGTACCCCTTCCGTTCCCTGAATCAACCAAATTGCGTGGTTCGAGGTTTTTCAAGTTTTGAGCATGGGAAATCTTCTAAGCTTTCTGATTCATGTGGTTTGAGCTGGGTTTTGAGTCATCCATTTGCAGATAGAGATCATAGAAAAGAAGAAGATTTGTACTCCTCAAGGAAAGAGGGATTATTGATTTTTCAATCTAGAGGATTGCTCAGGCATTACTTTTGTGAAACTACAACTCTGGGATGTAGGATTGGAAGAACAGTTTTTGTTCCTTCTTTAAGAGTTAGATGGACATCAGAATCAATACATTTTTCTTCCACAGCTGCAGCAGGTCGGGGTGAATTGGGTAGTGGAAATGATGGAAATGAAGAGGAGCCTGTTAAACAAATAAAGGAAGCTTCACCAGAGGAATGTGACCAAGCAGTCGAAGGGTTGAGCTCGGTGAAAGCAAAAGCAAAAGCAAAGCAGTTGCAAGAATCCCAAAAGGGTGCTAAATCAATCACAAAGAGGGTATGGGCTATGATTTTAGGGATAGGTCCTGCTTTGAGAGCTGTTGCTTCTATGAGCAGGTTACATATTTTTCTCCTTGTTTTTAATGTTTAAACTAATTTGACTTCTGTCACTTATGCCTTGTGACCTTCCTTCTTGCAGGGAGGACTGGGCAAAGAAGTTGCACCACTGGAAGGATGAGTTTAAATCTACAATGCAGCACTATTGGTTGGGTACAAAACTCCTTTGGGCTGATGTTAGGATAAGCTCAAGATTGATGTTAAAACTTGCTAGTGGGAAGAGTCTTTCTAGGAGGGAGAGACAACAACTCACACGCACGACAGCTGATATTTTCAGGCTAGTTCCTTTTGCAGTTTTTATTATAGTTCCATTCATGGAGTTCTTGCTGCCAGTATTCCTGAAATTGTTTCCCAACATGTTGCCATCAACCTTTCAGGACAAGATGAAAGAACAGGTAATGATTGTAATTATTGTTCCTAAATATAATCAAACAATATCAAAATTTTCAGTAAAACAAATCCACTGAGTTATCCCCTGCAGTATTTTTCCTTGATTTTTTTGCTTGTCAATAGGTTTTTTATGGAATTGGATGGTTTTCTGTATACAACGACGGAGCCCCTATTTGAACCAGGAGGGCCCCTTCCTCAACTTAAAAAAAACTACCTTTTTAGAGATCGTATTAAACTCATTTTTATTTTTTATTTTTATTTATTTATTTATTTTTAAATACTAAAATAACAATAAATTATGCATGGGTATTGGTTATTTCTCACCAAATACTCTTATAAGTTGTATATTGACATTGTCACCAGAAGAAGAGGTAAAGCAAGACAAAATTGCATGATAAGTAAAATGTGAATCAAATAGTGAATTGTGCAATTCACCATCAATTATATCTCAAAACAGACCATAGTTTTGCACCAATCTACTCATGAATCGCGAATCATAAGATTATGATAATAGAGGACAAGGTTTTGTTGAGTTGAGTAGAACCTCAGTTGGCCAACAATGCAAACAACCTTAGCCAATCTAATGTCAAGTGAAACTAAGTAGTTAGTTCGGGTCTTTCTTTCTTTCTCTTTCGTTTTATCTATCTCTTTCTTATTCTCTTGTGCTTAGGGTTTCGTTTGGCTTTTGGGATGTGGGAACGAACTCCCTTTTCAGTTTTATGTTGGTGGCAATCTAATCCATACTGACCAAATTGTACCCTTGCAACTGTCAGTATCATTTGATTGTAAAATAAATAATCCTTATATGTTTATATGTTTTTGTGTTTCTGTTATGTTGTATAAAGATAAATTGTAGCGGTGAACATGATATTGATAAAATGATCCTTATCCTTGTACAAAATAAGATATTGGATAATTGATAAATGTGAAGTTTAGGAAAGTCGAAGGAAAACTTTATTCCAATTTATTTTTCCACACATGTGAAAGGTTTTTCACTACTAAAGCAGGTTGACATGTATGGTGTGTCGGATATATCACACTGGAGAGATGTATTCTGGAAAAACTTTAAAACTGAGGGGAAGCATCATGAAAACATGAATATGTGCGGTGTAACTGCAAGAATTATTGAGAGGTGCATGTTTCCATCTAACTGAATATGTTACATTAATATGTTTGTAAAGTATTGTGGTTTTGTGCTATCTGTAGTGATATGAGGAAAATGTATTTTAGAAAAGGTGTTTTTATGTAGTTTTCTAATTTGAAAACCCCGAAATTCCTTGATCAAGAGATGTTTATGCATCAAGTTGAGGCTTATGCAAGCAATTGGTGTGATCCAATCTTCAATCTATGAGTGGGTTACAATTCAAGAAGGTGGGGAAGTTTGATTTAACACTTCAGCTAATTTCTAATCCAGTATCCTCTAAGTTAAGTTATTATTGAAGCCATGAATATCCTTTAGTTTGATTCAATGGGAAAAGTAAGGAAGAAGAGCTAACCTCTTACAAATGTTCTCTCATGTGATTTGGAAAAGAGTTGCATGTTGTAAATTGTCATGGCTTTTGTGTTGGATTTACATATAACATGATATATCACAACAATGTATAGATTACTACATTTTTATTTTTATTTTTTTATTTGCTAACGAGACCTCCCAAGTTAGGGCCACATCAGCCCCACCCTTGCAAAATAAACTCTGGATACCCGTAGGCACCCGCAAATCACGTGTATCAATTCAGACCGGGTGCAACGCCAGGAGTCGTCAAACCTAATATGTCCAGATTTAAGGTTCATCTCAAGGCTAGTTTCTTTACCACTAGGGTACTCGACACCAATTTAGCAGTGATTGCTGGAATTTTGACATAATTTTAACAAGGAAACTGATACAGTGACTCCAAATGCTCACTATTCCACTATATTGACTTGCTACATATCAATATGTTGTTTTTGGCATAAGAAGAAGCTAACATAACTGGTAAGGCTCCATTAGTTAAAGATATTTGCATATTGTGGCTCGTAAATGCTCCTTATGCAAGTGTAGTGTGTGATGTAGACAAAACATTTTATGTTGTGCCAAAAGTCCCATTTCAAGCATTTTTACTTTTTATTTTGTTGTTTAAATTCAACTGCTCAACTTGTAGGAGGCTCTTAAACGGAGGCTAAATGCAAGGATAGAATATGCGAAGTTTCTTCAGGATACAGTAAAGGAAATGGCAAAGGAAGTTCAAAACTCGCGAAGTGGAGAAATTAAGAAAACAGCGGAAGATCTCGATGAATTTATGAACAATGTGGGTGGTTTTATTTTTATTTTTTGAATTTCTACCCTTTTTTTGTGCCCTCTTTATTGGTTTCTTTTCCCCTAGACAAGAGAATAAGAGTTTGCAATATTTCTTGTTCTACTTCTTTTATTTATTTTCGGGAAGTATTTTTCTGTTTTACAATGTTTATAACAATCAAACAGGTTAGAAGCGGTGTTCATGTTTCCAACGAGGAAATTCTAGGCTTTGCCAAGTTATTTAATGATGAGCTTACTCTTGATAACATCAGCAGGTTGGTGATACCGTGTTTCTTCTGTTATTCGGATATATCTTTTCTGTTTAATTAAATTGTCTCTCTCGTTGTGTGGGATCATGCTTACACAAGTACTTGGTTTGCTTGTTACAGGCCTCGGTTAGTAAATATGTGCAAGTATATGGGTATCAACCCATTTGGTACAGATGCGTATTTGCGTTATATGCTTCGAAAGAGACTACAACAGTAAGTTTGTTATGTCCTTTCTGAGGAAAGTATGCATTAAACGGTAATGGTTCTTTGTTTGAAAGCTAGTATATTCTTTTGGGTGAAACCTATTGGAATTTGTTCCCTACAACAGATGTTTGGACTTATGCGACTATTTGTTCACAAGCATATTACCCAGCTCAAAATTTCATAAACTACTCTAGACAACCATTTTTAGGAAACAAGGTTTACTTTGGTGTGCATTTGTGGCATGCTTATAGATGACATTTAGATTTTTCTTCCGGTCCTTGAATTCTCAAAAATCCACACAGAAAAGCACAGGGCAAAGCATTTAATATATATATATTCCATCCAAATGAAGGGGACATGCCAAATAGGCAATCAATGAAATTGTGCATGTTCACAAAAGCAATGAAATATTCATCGTATTGCTTCTTTCATGATAACCAGATCTCATATACCAAAAATAATGATAGGGATTCCTGTCACATATCAGTATTAACCTATGTATCAGCATTTTTACAAGTTGATTGTGTGTTGAGTTTCTGACTGGAATCAGTTTAAATTTTAAGTCATGTGGCTGTTGTGTATTAATCTACTAATGGGTTCACAGTTCATGTACTTATATGCTTTAAATAAGATTACCTTTATTGTTAATTGAAATCATTATTGTTAATTGAAATCAGGTGACTTTTAATAATGAAAATTGCCATATGTGGTTGCACTGTTGGAATAAGAGGTTTACCCTGCTGGGATGGGTCCAAAGTGGCCCTGCCTTGAAGGGGTTTCTTGTCATCACAAGACCGAAAAAATAAAATAAAATGTTGTATGATTAAATGAATGAATTGCATCAAAACAAGTTACTTTTGCTTCAAGACAATTGCATATAGTTTGGAGAAAAATGGGTAACTAGTGAATACTTTTGACATATGTTGTTAGGTTTATCCATTGTAAAACATTATATTATGTATGGATTTGGCAGAATCAAGGATGATGACAAGATGATCCAAGCAGAGGGTGTGGAGTCCCTTTCTGAACAGGAGCTTCGTCAAGCATGTAGAGATCGGGGTTTACTTGGGTTACGTTCAGTTGAAGAAATGCAGAAACAGGTTTTTGTTTAATCTTGTGGATATTTATTGGACATTAATTACTTAAGATGCCCAGAGGGCACCCAAAAGTGCTTCTCAGATGTCACTTCTTGTTCTTAATTCAACAGTTATGGATATAGATATGTATGACTTGGCAATATTCTCAAGGTTAAAGAGTTATTAGCCTTTATCTGGGAAGCTGAAGATAAAAAAATTTCAGGTTCGATTGTTGAGGATAAAGACCCATAAAATCAATATACTCAATTCTTTAATATCTAAAAACCCAAAATATTTTGGTATCCAAATAGCCTACAACAGATATTATGCATCTTAGAAGCTGTAATCAACAGTTATTCCCTACCTATTCAGTAAAATTTATCTGTTTATATATTTATAATAACAAAAGAAGTTTTAATCCAATGTTTTTTAATCCATGTCATGATTGTAGTTTTGTGAAGTTTTTGATAGAGTATCACTGGTGTCTCCTCCCTCTCTCAAATTATTGAATTATGAAATGCCCTTTTGGTGTTACAACGTAAAATTCTTTTAAATCAATAGTTAGGCCCCCAAACAAATTGTTGTACTGAATTCCCCTTCTTTCCCCATGGTAGAGAGGGAAAAAAACTAAACCTCAATAAGTTCTCTTCATAAATGGCCGCCAATATATGTTGTAAATTTGCTTTAGTAACTCTTGAACTTTCTGAATCTCTTCAGACTCCTGTGTCTGTGTTTCAAAAATAATTTCAGACACTTCTTCATGTATCCGACTAGTGTCTGGAGCCCAAATGTGTCCGACACTGATACATAGTTCTGGGAGAGGTATCCGTGCTTCCTAGATGACCTGTGTAGTAGTGTTTCAGCTGTTACAAGGCTCTGTGTCATCATGTGTTTTGAGGGCTCATCATAAACAATTTGCGAAATACTTTTTATGGTGTCATTATGGTTAACGTTGTTACCCTTTTATAGGATGTGTTTCGATGGGCTTGATTTCAGTATCTTATTGTAGGCTAGTATTTGAATTTCTTTTGTGTGGTCTGTTGTGTAGTCTCTTGAGCTGTGAGAGTTTTTTTATTTTTATTTTTAGAGTAGGCACTTATTTTCTCTCTCCGGAGATATGTGTGGCCCTATAGCGTGCTTAAGTTTCACTATAATATTCATTTTTTTTGGCAATAAAATTTCATACTTCCCAAAAAAAAAGAACGAGTGGGTTTGCTAACACATATTTGGTGAATTTTAATTGATGTGATTTAGTTATAGGTGAAATAAAAGGAAAAAAAATGGATTGACCTGGAGGGTGGCAAACAAAATAGAGGAAGGCCAAGGAGAACTTGGGTCGTGGTGATAAGAAAATATGTGACTGGCCTTAAAACTGTTCCGAGGAGTGAGACTTCAAACATAACCAATTCAAGGAAATGGATCTATGTAGCTGATTTCAAGTAATTGGGACAAAGGCTTGTTGAGTTGAAAGGAAAAAAGCCTGCATATAAAATAATGTGTTGTGTTTTCTTATCTAATTTTCTTCAACATGTGTGCTAGAACCTAGTGAAACTAGGATTGATCTAATAGTTGTATGCTAATGTAAGTGAAATTTTTTTTATTTTCTTTTAGATTCAGAATGATGCTCCTCGTAGCATTGGATGTCCATGTTAGATAGCTTGATATACATTGGGAAAATTGGTAACTTAACACGGTATTAGAGCTTTGGTTGGGAGAGGTTTTAGGTTCAAGTCTCTCCGTTGACATTTGGTATTCTGTCCCCATTTGGTTTCTTTCTCTTTGATTGGTTGTTTGCTTCTCTGTTTGTCTCTGCATGTGCAAAATGGCGTTGCACGTGAGGGAGGGTGTTAGATAGCTTGATATACATTGTTGGGCCCATTTCCTAATAGCTTAGGCTTTTGAATAAATTGGTAACTTAACAGTCCAATCAATGTGTCACAATACCAGGGGATACTGTACAAGAACATATACCTAGGGGAAACTATTGGGAGTTTAAGGTACTTGTAAATTCTAGCAAGGGAAAACAATGTTCATTTTTACTTGATGCTAGAAAACTTGGCGAGCTTAGGTTGGCTTGCTTAATAAATAAGAAAAATAGTTAGATTGCTGATGCCATCCTTATAGCTAATGACACTTTTAAAGGATTGGACAAAGCCCAATCAAGTAGTGGTGGTGAAGATTGGTCTGGGTTTGCTTCCCACAGGCCTAACTCAGGTTCGACTCTTGTCGGCCCCTTCCTTTTGTCTGTATCATGCGATTGGGGGGTGTCACTTGACCCTTGGGTTTATGTGCCTGGGGTGGGCCGCCTAGGACACAGTTGCCGGTTATCTAAAAAAAGTAGTGGTGAACATGAATTTTAGAAAAGCTTATTTGTTAATTAGGAGGGGTGATACCTCTGAATTCTGATTAAAAACCTGAATCTTTTTCCCCTGGCATTGTCTTGTCTAATGGTATGGATTACATCGGACCTTGAGCTGAAGAGAAACATCATGATATTTGCAGGTACATGGGTCCATATCCATTACATGGCATTGACATGTCATCATGAGTAAGAGATTAGCTGTCACAGGATTGTGTTGATGCCTACCATCTTCCCCGATCACCTTGTTCCAACTTTTTCTACAATCGTTGCTTCACTAGTAACTTCTTTTCTCAAAATTCAGAAAGAGATTATCAATTTCCAAATATTTTGGGGCTACTTCAGTGAGAGATGGTTATATTTGGAAGCTTTTGTAAGCATGGGAAAGCAGGGTGAATGCTTGTGTCTTATGCTGTAGCCTGGAAGCTCTGAGAATAATGAAACACTTTACATCTGAAGATGCATGGTACATGGAATTTGTTTGGTTAAAAAGTTTGATAAGTGTTTGGGTATTTTGCACATGTGGCCTTTGGCCTTGAAGTTTAATCTGGCAGTTGATTCATTTTGTGTGTCACTAGTTACTCGTGAATTTAATAAATTGCATATAATCATTATGGATGGCATGGAATCTTTATCTTCCATGCCTTTTCCTGATGCTGCTGCAAAGTTATGAGCTTATTATTTTTATTTTAGTAATGCGAAAAAAAATTGGTACTGTCAGAAAACACTTCCATTAATAGAAGTTTTATCATCATTGCTAAAGATCAAACAAAGAATGTTGATTTATTGAGACATTTAAGTTCGCTTCCGTTCTTGCAGCTACGTGATTGGCTTGACTTGTCTCTCAACTATTCAGTGCCATCTTCTCTGTTGATTCTTTCTAGGTAACTTGTTGATTGACTTGATTATATATATTTGTGGAGATTTTGAATGGCATCTAAATTATTGTTATTATTTTGCGATCTGATTTTCTCTGCAGAGCCTTCACTGTTTCAGGTAAAGTGAAACCAGAGGAAGCTGTTCAAGCTACGTTGTCCTCACTGCCAGATGAGGTGGTGGACACTGTGGGGGTGACTGCTTTGCCATCTGAAGATTCTGTTTCGGAAAGGAGGAGGAAGTTGGAGTTCCTAGAAATGCAAGAAGAACTAATCAAGGTTGAATTTCTCTTTCCATCTTCCGAGGGTTTTGTCACAATATTTTTTTTTTTTAAGCAAAAAAAGAAAAAGTTGCATAAATAGATTGATCACCTTACTTTGTTCACAGTTGTCTGAGTTGATATCTTGGAAAAGTTACAAAAATCTAAAAAATTGTCCTTTTGAGATTGTTTAAATATATATATATATTTTTTGACAAGATGACTTTCATTTTGTCACTGCATAGCCATCCTATTTTTATAGAAGTACCACATATACTTCTCAAATTTGTATTTTATTTTATTTTGTAGAAGTACTTTTTATATATATACACATAATAGTAAATATCATATGCTGTTTAATAGTTTGTATCATATGCTGTCAAAACCTGATGCATTTTCATAATCAGGGCAGTATTGTATATGTGATGTGCATCTTATCCATCTAATGAAATACTATATCAATTTTGCTCTTTTTGATGTCAGTTTTTGCATGTAAAATTGTAAATGGATCAAACTAATGTGTGTCAGCAAAGCTGTCGTTGCAAATGTACAAGGGTAATTGCATCTGTCTATGTGAACAATTTTACAGTTGGATTCTTTGTCATTCTAGAAGATTGTAGGTCTTTAGATTGCTTGAAATTTCCCGGCTGTGTTTTCTTATATTTTAGTTCAAACTTGTTGATTATAGGAGGAGGAAGAGAAAGAGGAAGAAGAGTTGGCCAGGATGAAGGAATCTTCTGCTAGGCAAAAGGATGTTGCTTTGGAAGAGATGACCACTGCAACAGCAAAAGAAACACAAGAGCAGTCACAATCAAAAGCTCTAGAGAAACAGGAGCAGCTTTGTGAGCTAAGTCGTGCATTGGCAGTTTTAGCATCAGCATCTGTAAGAAATTATTTATTTATTTTATGGCTTATAAATTTCGAATATGAAATGCCAGCTATTCTTGACTTCCTTTTCTGATTCTTTCAGTCTGTGAGCAGGGAGCGTGAACAGTTCTTGAGACTTGTCAATAAAGAGGTAGTTTCCGACCATTGTTATAATTAAGTTGTTATCTTTTTATTGTGAACTACACCTCCTAAGTTCTGAAGCCCTAAAAGTATAACACTATTTATTAGGAAGATTCTTTCTTTAGATTGATGTTTGCAAAAAAATTTGCTTTTGTGAGATAAAGATATATCTAATGGTTTTCCATTTAACCATGATTGTGTTACCAAGATAAGCCCTGATACCTAATTAACCTTGTTAAGTCACCAATTGTCTAAAGAGCTATGAAGCATGAACACCTCTTTGGAGGTTATGTACACGAACAATCGTCAGACGTGCTAGAGGAAGTGACACATTGGGGTCATGGACACATTGGGTACACGCTACGAGATAGGCGGTGCCTCATTTAATTTTTTTTCCTCACCAGAGTAGCATAGTTAAGGTTGGGTGCATGTTGGTAAATAGCATTTACTCTCGTTAGATATTCCTATTAGGCGTCAAAACAACTCAATGTTTCAGAATTTTTTTTTATTGAAGTTCATTTCAAAATGTTTTGTAGTGTTTTGGTGGGAACACTGGAATTTAGGTTTTCCCCAGTAATTTTTCTTGAGTTTCATAGAAAATGGAAGCCTTTTAGCTATTTCGATGGAATTGAATTGAAATTTTATTCCTTGACGGTGGGAACTGTAGAGGATATGATGTAAACAATAAAGTTGCCCCTCTCTCTAATAGTTTAAGCTTTTAGATGAGTTGGTGATCAACAATTTAATAGCTACCAAATTGCTGAAGTGGTCATTTTCTCTTGATCAGTGTTGTTAATTGTAATCTATCTTAAATTTTAACTTTCGGTATCAGATTCAAGCATCTTACTTCCTGTTCCATCCACTCCTTGTGCATAATTTTGTATTTGCCTTGTAGTTTATGTTTATTTGTGGACAAAATGTCATTTGTAGATAGAGTTGTATAATAGCTTGGTGGAGAAAGAGGGTACAGAAGGTGAAGAAGAAGCCAAGAAGGCATACAGAGCTGCCAGGGAGGACAGTGACCATGCTCCAGAGGAGGCTGTACGAGACAAAGTTTCTTCAGCGCTCATAAATAGGGTAAGGAGTTGTTCCGATGTATACTTGTTGCTATGGGCTTCAGTATTTATCTTGATGTTTCTCTAATCACTGTCTGCCTTATGTATTGCAGTGTATGCAATGTCTTCTAGGATTTTTTCTAAAGTTATTCTGACTCTGTATTCAGGTTGATGCTATGCTTCAAAACCTTGAAAAAGAAATTGATGATGTGGATGCCAAGATTGGTGATCGGTGGCGATTGCTTGACAGGTATGTTTGGAGATCTTTTGAAGGCTTACAACAAGTGAAGCAATAAATTTAATTTAGAGAGGGAAACAGGAGAAGGAAGATGTTCAAATTCTTTGAAAGAATGGGCATTCATTTGTCTAGGAAAATTCTTTTGAATCTTCTCTCTCCTGCTGTCCTCTCTGAAACCTTACCATCTTTCCAAAGAGCAGCTATTGCCATTTATAACTTGTCCTTGTAGTTTATCAGTTTTAGGTGGATTCTCCGCTGCTGATGCACCTGCTAACTAGAATATATTTTTGATAATTAGTCCAGTGGTGCAGTCACTTGTCTACCCATCACCATTATCCATGTCCATAAATTCCCTTTTGGTTTCATTACCAAATAAGTAAATAGATAGATAAATAAATAAATTGCTACTTTTTTGTTTGTGTTTGCCTGTTTGGCCGTCTGACCATTGCATAGAATTCTACGGGTCTGGCTCTAACAGATCATCTTTACTGTAGCTTAATCCTTGAGCACCACTTAGATTGTGGAAATATTCTTATTACTAGTAGAAATAAAGGTTTTTTCTTTGAAGGACTGGCATTTTCTTCTTTATTTTTTCCTGGATACCTCGCTTATTTTTTCTTAACTATCTTATGTTTTATGGGTGTATGTACTAGTAAGCATATCCTTATAGTTTTCATGAATTTACTTAATTTAACTGAGCATATGACCCATGGAAGTAAATATTGAGCTAACATTATTTTCTCTCAATGAATTGGCTATGGATATGCATGCATATATCTCTTTGGAAGATAAATGAGTACTTCATTTATGTGTATGTTTCTTCTTTCATGTCCTTCCCTGATAAGTGTTGGGCTTCTTTGGCGACCGTGAAGTCACCGGATGAATTAGTATATAGATCAGAGCCAGATGCGGCTGTTGCTCCGTGGCGATACGGACTTGACCCACTCCTACCCGCCCCGGACCTCATAGCATGTCGGGAATAAGGGGGGACATACTGGACATAACCACTCCCTTGGTTGGGGGCTGTGCCGCCCTGCCTTTTCGATCGATACACAGTTGAGGAGGCCGATCACGTACCCTACAATTGTGGGAGTGATCCTGGTCAGGGAAGGCTAAGACGGCGCCTCGCATGGGTAGCAAGAGGGCGCTTATGCCCCGACAGTGGGGCCTTATGGGGAAGGGCCCAGACCAATAGGGACAGCACAACCCACTTTAAGGGCACCGCTGTATCGACTGAATCACTCTAAGGGGGCTTTGTATTTGTTTATTTAATTGTTTACTATTTTGGTTTGGAAATGATGCCTTCTTCAATTGCATAGGTGCTGATTTGCCAGCTTTTGAACACATTGTTTTGTTTCCCATATGGAGGAAAGGGGTAGGGAGGCTATCATCAACAAGTCATAGCAATAGTACATCATGCATTATGCAATGTGTTAAAATTGATGTATTATTGAATGTTGTATGTTATATATTACAAATGGATGTATTATTGAATGTTGTATGTTATATATTACAAATGGTGAGGGGCTCCTTATATAGGAGATGTAGTGGAGTAGGTGGTAGTAGGTGGTAGTGGTAGGTGTGTAGTAGGTGGTAGTAGGTGGTGGTAGGTGTAGTAGGTGGAGTAGGTGATGGTAGGTTTTAACAGCCCCCCGCAAACTCAAGGGGGATAGGAACTAACCAACTTGAGTTTGGAGAGAATAACAAAACAAGAAAATAATCTGAAAAATAAAAAATGGATAGGAGACACTGTATGGTCGTGTCAGACCGTTGTAGAAGACTGTATGGTTATGGCAGACCGATGTAGAAGACACTGGCTCGTGTCGGACCGATGTAGAAGACAGTTTATGGGGTCATGTCGGACCGTTGTAGCAGACAATGTTGTGACAGTTGTTGACCTATTGTCTTTCATAATTGCTAAAAAGAACTCTCTCCATCTCTATCTCAATCTTATAATATCTAAGAACCATTGATATATGGGTAATTGTATTTGCACACTACAAAAAAAAATGCCAGTACACATCATTTACACAGTTTGGATATAAACTTTTAAACAAAAGTCAAAATTTCAGACATTAACTTCTGAACAAAAAGCATTTCCGACATAAACAGTTCAATGAAATGTATATCCGAGAAAATGATTTTTATTCGGAAGTTAATGTTTAAACATTTGACTTTTGTTTAAAAGTTTATATTGGAATGGCATAAATGGTGTGTACTGAGAATTTATGAGTTGTGCGAATAGAATTTCCCTATATATAATTGTTTTGCTTTGTCTTTCCTTTTTTTCCCCTCTAACAAAAACTATTGCTGTCTGCCTCTCTCTGCAGCTGGTTGTATAATTCCCAAACAAGGCAACCCTCTATCAAGTAACAATTCCATATCAGTTACACACATTGAACGGTTCAGATTATTAAAATGGGACCCGTGATGACCTCCATGGGACGAACAACGGTGTGTGTAAAAACCACACCCAATCATTTCTTTTTCCTCCACTGCCGCA